GTTCCAGGGAATCTGACACACTCTTCTAAACTACATGGGCACCGGGCACGCAAAATATTCATACACATAAAATATCTAAAAAAAATATTTTTAAAAAACAACTGGATTTCAGTTGCATCCTGCGAAAAGCTTCCAGAGAGGAGAGCTGTGTCCTGATCTCATTGGATCTGACCTGTGTCCTCAGAGTGTGCTGTCTCCATGGAAACTGAAAATGTCAGGAAGGAGTATCTCCAATGGTAGTCACCACATTCACACAGCTGAATCTTACATCTATCTTGACGCGTAGGTCTCCTGTAGCTTTGGCTGCCTACAAACTCCCTAAGTAGCTGAGGATGACCTTGAACTACCAATCCTCCTGCCTCCACCTCCCAGGTACTGCGCCTCAAACCCAGAGCGTCATGCATGCTAGGTGAGCACTCTACCCACTCAGCCACACTACCCCCCTTTAAATCTTGATTGAAACCACAGATGGGGCCTGACTCAAGCTCAGATTCCACTGTATACACTAAAACCCAGTCTGGGTCACTTGAGGCGGTACACACATGTAACCCCAGTACTTAGGAGGCTGAAGCCAGAGAGAATTTGAAGGAAGCCATCTGAGAGGAACCAGTTCTCTGTGGGCTTGGAGACGTATGCCTATGGCTGGGGAGAACCGTGGGCACTCAAGAGCTTCTGCCCCCTTTAGCAGTTGCTTAGCACCAACAGTACACTTTTTTTTAAAAAAAAAGAAGTCATTTATTAATTCATCGGGTTTTTTGAAAAAGATTTGTAGAAACTCAGAAGTTAAGAGCACTGGCTGCTCTTCCAGAGGAGCTGAGTTCAATCCCCAGCAACCACAGGGTGGCTCACAACCATCCGTAATAAGACTTGGTGCCCTCTTCTGGCATGCAGGCAGAACACTGTATACACAATAAATAAATCTTTAAAAAAAGAAGGAAAGCTTGGAAAAGATGTGGTTTTTTAAAATATTTATTTATTTATTTATTATGTGTACAATATTCTGTCTGTGTGAATGTCTGCAGGCCAGAAGAGGGCACCAGACCTCATTACAGATGGTTGTGAGCCACCATGTGGTTACTGGGAATTGAACTCAGGACCTTTGGAAGAGCAGGCAATGCTCTTAACGACTGAGCCATCTCTCCAGCCCCCAAGATGTGTTTTTGCTTTTAATTATTTGCTTCTCTGTGGGCAAGCGTGCACACAGGTGTGGGAGGACCAGAAGAGGGCACTGGCTCCTCCAGCGCCAGAGTGGCAGGCCCCTGTGCCAACAAACTCTGGGCAGCTCAGTCATCTCTTCAGCCCCAGTTTTCAATGTTTGTTTACTTACTTGCTTGTTTATTTATTTATTGGTTTTTCTAGACAGGCTTTACCAGTAGCTATGAAGTCAGTTCTGGAACCAGGCTGGCCTACACAGAGATTCACAGAGATCCACCTGCTTCTGCCTCCTGACTCTGTTGGGATTAAAAGTGTGCACCACCACTGCCCGGAAATTTTTAATTGTTTGAGATCGAATTTTACTGTGTGTCCAGGTTGGCATGGAATTCACTATGCAGACCAGACTGTCCTTGACACTGACCCTCAGTCTCTTAAGTGTTGGGAAGACAGGTGCGTCTCACCTGGCCTCTAGCTTGACTCTTCTGAAGGAGATTTTTGGAAAGAATGGGCTTCTACGTCTAAACTGAAGGTTGGCCTTCAGGTCCACACCTCCCGGATTTGCCACAGCCCCCGTTAGTCTACAGTGAGTCCTTCACAAAAGCTTCCGGAAGGTGGGGACGAACTCTAGAAGGTCAAAGGTCGCACCTCACAAGCTCTTGGTGAAGATAATGGTGCTGATTAGCTGGGGAGGATGCTAAAGGATGACTTTGACTTCCCTGTGTGGTGTCGCAAGAGTTCTGGAAGCTTAAAGAACAAACACTTGAAACCTTCCTCCCGAGGGAGAGGGTCAGCCTGTCCGTGTTGGTCACCTCATACTGCCTGACAGCACCAGAGAGGAAACTGTGTGTGAGCCAGGGCTATGCTGGCAGCAGCCATCTGGACACTGACCCCCACCCAGCAGCTTGAAGTGTTTGTCACAAGACTCAGTCCAAAAGTCCCCGCACTCCTACCGCCCTGCGCTTCAGGCAGCGAACAAACTATGGGGCTGGGAAAGACCTGCCTTTCTCAGAGTCCTGGTGGGGTGGGAAGGGAGTTTCTCAGACCTTCCCTGTTAATTTGGGGACATGGACCAGAACAGGGTAGAATCACAGAGCCTTCTCAGGTCAACAGGGCAAAAACAAAAGAAACAAAAAAAACTCAAAAAACAAACAAACAAACAAAAAACAGTGGTTTAAAGGAAAAACGCCTGGGCGGGGGATGTGGTTCAGATAGAGAGGGCTCACCTAGCAAGCATGAAACCCTGCATTTGACCCCAACACAGCACAAACTAAGGGTGGTGGCTTCTGCCTGGAATCCCAGTCCATGGGTGACAAAGGCAGGAGAAACAGAAGTTCAAGGTTGTGTTTAGTGCTGTCTTGGGCTACTAAAGCCCTGCCTCAAAAGCCTCGTGTCACCTTCCTGTTAGACGCCAGTTTGTTGACATGATGTCCAGATGCAACCACCTCAGCTTTGGACCGAGGCTTCAGTCCTGGAGTGCTCATTGAAGGGGGTTCCCATGGCTTTCTTGTGGCATAGATACGACTCTGCAAGGTCCTATCACCAGCTCCCTCGTCCCTGCATGGCACTTTCAGGAGAGTGCTCCCCAAGGGGTGGCAGATAAGCAGACCCAGCAGCCTACCCCACGCCAAGCATCCTCGTTGTCCTTTGTTTAGGTTCCTTCCCCTTGCTCCACTTCAGGTTAGGAGACCTGAAATCCCTGCAGCTGGGTATGGCTCCAGACAACAGGTGGCCACTGGGTTGCTCTGCTAGCCTTCTGAATCAGACCGTGCTGATTCAGAGACGAGACAAGGAGAAATTGTTCCCTAGCTTTTGGCGACAGTTGGTGTGTGCACAAGTGTGTATGTATGACTGTGGAGTCCACGGTTGAAGTTGGGTGTCTTCCTCAACCGCTCTTCACCTTATTATTACCGTGTAGCCTGGCTGCCTCCCAATATTGTAATTAGAAGTTAAAGGTGTACACCACCATGCCAGACAATCCACCTTCATTTTTGAAGCAGAATCACTCACTGAACCTGGATTTTTCTGATTCAGTTAGACTGGCCAACCGGCCAATGAGCCCCACGTGTCCGTTTGTCCTTGTCACCCTAGCATTGAGATGACAACTGTGTACCATCACACCTGGATCCAATTAAGACTTTCTTATAGCTGAGCCATGGTGGTGCACACCTTTAGTACCAGCACTTGGGAAGCAGAGGCAGGTGGATCTCTGTGAGTTTGAGGCCAGCCTGGTTGACAGAAGAGTGAGTTCTAGGATAGCCTGGGCTACACAGAAAAACCTTGTCTCAAGAAAAAAAAATTGCATTTAAAAAAAAAAAAGCTGGGTGGTGGTGGTGCACACCTTTAGTACCAGCACATGGGAGGCAGAGGCAGGCGGATCTCTGTGAGTTCGAGGCCAGCCTGATCTACAGAGTGAGTTCCAGGACAGGCACCAAAGCTAGAGAGAAACCTTGTCTCAAAAGTACCAAAAAAAAAAAAAAAAAACCAAAAAAAAAAAAAAAAAAAAAAAAAAAAAAAAACAAAACTAAACTTTCTTACTCTGGGGGCTGGAGAGATGGCTCAGAAGTTAAGAGCACTGGTTGCTTTTCCAGAGATACTGAGTTCGTTCTCAGCAGCCACACGGTGGCTCACAACCATCTGTAATGAGATCTGGTACCCTCTTCTATGGTGCAGGCATACATGCAGGCAGAACATTGTATATATAATAAATAAATGAATAAATTCTTAAAAATAAGCAAACAAAACTTTCTTCCTTTGAACCCCGAGATTACAGGTATTCATGCTTTGCCTTGCCAAACCCAGAGCTTCCTGAGTGCCACACGCCTGTGCCAGTCACTAAGCCAGCCTCGAGTTCCATTTTCACAGTAGCTGTCCTAGCCAGTGTGAGGTGACAGCTCATCCTCCCTTACTGTTAGTGAAGCTGAGGATCTTTCCATGGACTTGTTAAAGCTCTCTCATAAAACAAACAGGATAGTCATTAGCCAGGTGGAGCAAATCAAGACAGGCAGGCATCAGACCCTGAGGGCCTCTCACACGCCTCTTTGTCCCAGGCTGACCCCTCCCAGAGAACGGTGATTCCTAGTCAGCTACTGAGAAGAACATAGAAGAACGTATGTGCACTCCTAATTAAAGAGAATAAAACAACCAAAAAGTGCAATCAAGAGAAAAGACAGGGCTGGAGAGATGGCTCGGACGATAAGAATGGACCTTGCTTTAGAGGACCCCATTCAGGCCCCAGAAACCATTCTTTGTCTCACAATGACCTGTAGCTCCACCTCCAGTTACTCTGTGAGGTGCCCTCTTCAGGTCTCCACAGGGACCTGTGCTCATGTGTAATACCTATGACAGAAAAACAAAACAAAACAAAACAAAAAAACAACACCTACATGTAATCTCTTTCTTTAAGATCTAATGTATGATTGTTTTGCCTGCAAATATATATATATATACACACACATGTATGCACTGCATACATGCCTGGTACCTAAGGAGGCCAGAAGAGGGCATCAGATCTCCTGGAACTGGAGTTACAGATGTTTTTGAACCATCATGTGGGTGTTGAGAACTGAACCTGGGTCCTCTGCAAGAGCAACCAGGGCTCTCCGCTGCTGAGTCATCTCTCCAGACTCCCCAAATCAGTTTTGAATGAAGCTCTGCCTCTGCTGCTGGATATTGCCACATTCTTTGTCTCTGCCCCTTCCTTTCTGGAAGTTTTCTAGCTATTTACTGTTTATTTCCCCAGTATAAATTTTAGGATCAGTCTGTCTGGTGCCAGCCTTGTCTTCTTCCACTGCCCCCTCTTCAGTGACACGTGACAGGGACTCCAAAACATGTACTTTATTTTCCAGATGACAGGAGATATGGAAAGCCCAAGACGCCATGAGAAGTCCAACCAGGTAAGCACATGCCCTCCCCAGGGCTCCACAGTCTCCCGTTCCCTTTCATTCTTTGAGATAAGGTCCTTCTACAGCCCTGGCTGGCCTCGAACTAGCTTTGTAAACCAGGCAGACCCCAAACTCAAAGATTTGTCTGCTCTGTCTCTGACTGCTGTGATGAAAGGCGTGTGCCACCACCACCTGGCTCTGTTATGTTTCCCATACACTTCAGGGCGTTAAGGATGGCTGTTCCAATGTGATTATCTCATTTTAGTGCTCAGGAGAGAGCACCAGGCTCCAGTGCCCTTAACACAAGGTACTCAGTTCTGTGTATCTGCACATGAACATGCGTGTGTGTGTGTGTGTGTGTGTGTGTGTGTGTGTGAGTGAGTGAGAGAGAGAGAGAGAGAGAGAGAGAGAGAGCACTGAAAAGGCCACAGTCTCCAACACTGACCCTCTGCTCTCTGCCTCAGCCCTGAGTTTTGGAACCGGTCATTTGTTCAACTGCTGTAGAGACAACAGAGCTGCCATGAACAGAGAGGTGGAGGGACCTTCCTTGACACAGCCCAGCTCTGTACTGCGTGTCCCTGCACTCCAACGGGACTGCTGACCTTTATCTGTCTTGCTGCAGAGATAGGAAACTCACCTGAAAGAATCCAACCCTGTACATCGAATTTAGCCTTTCTTCTGATTTTTTAAAGGATTTCTTTTATTCTGTATGTCCGAGTGTGTGCCACCATGCCCAGCTCTTAAATTCAACTTCCACTGACTAATTCAGTTTATTGAATCCAAAAGTTTAAGAATCCCACAGCTGGCTGGCCAGTAGTGGCGCATGCCTTTAATCCAAGCACTTGAGAAGCAGAAGCTGGTAGATCTCTAAGTTTGAGGTCGGCCTGGTTTACATCGGGAGTTCCAGGCCAGCAAGAGGTATATAATGAGACCTTATCTCAAAAAATAAAAGAACCTCCCCCCGCAAAAAAAAAAATAAACAACAACAACCAAACAACAAGATAGATTCCCCTAACAGTCCAGAAAGTTGCTGAATTGTCCTCAGAACACATAAGGGACTCACTGGAATAGTCAAAGTTAGGGTGATGAATGCCAGAGAACAAGTCTTGGGTTGGGTAGATGTCTTGGTCAGTAAAGTACTTGTCATATAAACATGAGGACTTGAGTTCAATCCCCAGAAGGGATGTAAAAGCTGGGTACCACAGCATGTACTTGTAATCCCAGCTCTGAGGAGATAAACAAAGTCTGAGACCTCGGGCTTGCTGGCCAGTCAGCCAAGCCTCATCAGTGAGCTTCGGGTCCCAGGTAAGAGATTCTGTTGCAAAAGACAAGGTAGACAGCTTCTGTGGATCAGTACCCAAGGTTGGCATCTGATGTGTGCGTATGTACACACACACACACACACACACACACGCACGCACGCACGCACCGAGAACAGGTTCTGATTGGTCTGGGGCAGTCCAGTCTAGACAGAGGGCAGGTAGAGAAAGTGAAGAGCAGGAAGAGAGAGACGAGAACACTTTCCTGAGTCTGGCCCTGACGGGCATGTGTACCCTCACTGGCCATGAAGCGGACTTTATCTTTTGATGGAGAGTAGAATGGACAGGGCAAAGAGCTGAAGATTCAGGTTTCTGGGAATGGACCAACAGAAACCATATGCCTCACAAGTCTGGAACCTGATAGAAGGTAGTGTCTTCTTAGGTCAGTTTTATCAAAGCTCCATACCTGCCCTATTAATTAGCTGGAGTGAGGCCACATCATAGGACCTACTACCTCCATTATGGCCTCTGTTTTTGTTGTTTTTTTGAGACAGGGTTTCTCTGTGTAGCCCTGGATGATATGGAACTCACTCTGTAGACCAGGCTGGCCTCGAACTCACAGAGCTCCACCTGCCTTTGCCTCCCAAGTGCTGGGATTAAAGGTGTGTGCCACTATCACCCAGTCAATTATGTCCTCTGAAGGAATATAAGGAGAGCCCAGCAAGGTTTAGGCAAGAGTGTGGTGTGACATTTGTCATTCATGTCTACTGTGTACAAGGGATGTGGGTGCCCCTTTGCGAGAGGCCTGGGACCCTGCTAGTTGGTCTTGGTGCCTTCTATGACCTCTAGTTAAGAGAATTTTTTGGAGATTCTGTAAGCGCTATCATCGAGTGGTTGTCTAAGCAAACCTTGAATTCTTGATCTTCCTGCCTCCACCTCCCAAGAGCTGGGATTACAGTTGTGTGCCACCATACCTGACTATATTGAAAAGGGACACTGAGTGGTTCTTTCCCTGTGCCAAGAGGTCTGATGACATACACATGGCACAGCTGTTGAATGCCTTTTCTATCCAGACCTGCGCGGCAACATTGCTCAACACTTTCTCTGGAGTTGGGGCAATTCTATTCCCTCCCCCAGTCTAGAGTTCTGGTTTTCACAAACACACCCAGATACAGCCAAGGGCCCTTAGTTGGGAAGGAGCATCCACAGACGGAGAAAGGGCATCAAGCTGCTCCTAGCAGGAGCCGATCGGCCTGACACGCTCAACTCCTGCAGGAGGGACACATCTGGGGCTCCATGAGGAGGACGGCTCTCATCCTGGGCTCTGGGCTGCTCTTGTCTGTAGCCTTCTGGAACTCAGTCACATGGTAAGTGTGCCCCAGATCTTTGGGGTGAAAGGTGTGGCATGAAAGAGCTGGCTTCTCAGTCTTCCCGGACATGTAAATGTTTTTCCTTCCAAGGCATCTTCAGAGATTTTGGGGTGCTTCTGGCTACTTTTGGCAGACCCAGTGGGAGAAACTGCTGTCCACATTTGAAGGCAACGAGTGGATCTTATTCTTTATAGGTGAGGTTGCAACCAGAAGGCTGTCTGTGTGTTGTACTCCACTCTCGTTCTTTCCCACACTACTCTATTATCATTTATTGCTACTGTTGTTATATTATTACCATATTTATTTCACGTGCAGGTGGAGGTCAGAGGACAACTTGCAGGAGTTGGTTCTCTCCTTCTACCATGTGGTCCTGGGAACTGAACTCAGTTTGTCAGGCTTGCCGCAAGTGCCTTTACCTGCTGCTCTATGGGCCCAGTCTGGAAATATCGTACTGGCTGTCCTGGAACTCAATTTGCAGACCAGGCTATCCCTGAACTCACAGAGATCCTCCTGCCTCAGTTTCCTGGGTGTTGAGATTGCAGCACACAACACTATCTGCCCAATCTGTTGTTTTTAACTGAGGTTTTTGCTGAATGCTTGTAGCCATCTTGTCACATGAGCAAAGGCTTAATATCGCAAGGTGCCAGGTCTGCTCTGTCACGTGAAAGACTCTTACTTAGTTCGTTGCCTACTAATAGACATTTAGACTACTTTAGATGTTTCCTTGTGATTAAAAAAACTATATTTAGCCAGGCGGTGGTGGTGCATGCCTTTAATCCCAGCACTCGGGAGGCAGAGGCAGGTGGATCTTTGTGAGTTCGAGGCCAGCCTGGTCTACAAGAGCTAGTTCCAGGACAGGCTCCAAAAACTCCAGAGAAACCCTGTCAAGAAAAACCAAAAATGAAAAAAAAAGAAAAAAGGAAAAGCCAAAAATGAAAAAAACAAAAACCAAACTATTTACTTACTGTGTGTGTGTGTGTGTGTGTGTGTGTGTGTGTGTGTGTGTGCTTCATGCATGTCTGTGCACCAAGTTCATACAGGAGCTGGGAGGTCAGAAGAAGGTATTGATTTCCCTGGAACTGGAGTTACAAATGGTTGTGAGCCACCATGTGGGGAGTGGGAATTGAACCTGGTTCCTCTAGAAGAGCAACCAGTGATCTTAACTGCTAAGCTCCCCCTCTCTCTAGCCCCCAGATTTTCCTGTGACTTTTATAAGATTTTTTGAGACAGGATTTTTTTGTGTAGCCCTGGCTGTCCTGGAATTTGCTCTGTAGACCAGGCTGACCTCGAATTCAGAGATTCACCCGCCTCTGCCTCCCGAGTGCTGGGATGACAGGCATGCACCACACTGCCCAGCTTTTCTTGTTATTCCTGAAGATGATGTATCAGCATGTCTATGCAGAACCCTTTGTGTATTTGCATTCCATCTCTTTCTTTTTCACTTCAAAGTCTTTCCAACTATCCTGCAGAATAGGTCTACCAGTGGTCTTCTAACCCTGGCCAAGTCCTTCCTGTATCCCTCCTACCCCAGACACCGTGTCTGATGGGGAAGGAAAGCACTAGAGGAAGGGGACAGAGACAGAGCTCAGCCAAAGTGTCTGTCCTTCAGGAGTCCCAATCCAGGAAGAGACCACAGCAGTTAGGCAGCTCCGCTGGAGGGGAGACTAAAGACATGAGAACGTGGGACGTGAAACAAAGCCAGACGAAACGTGTCTTTGTCAGTGTTTTCTTATTTTTACTTATTGTGTTTGACGTGGGCAGGGACGTGCACATGCCACAGTCCGTGTGTGGAGCTCAGACCGTCAGGCTCACCTAGCAGGAGCTTTACCCACTAAGCAACCCTGGTCTATGTGTCTTCTTCTTGGCATGGGGTTTCTTGTATCCCAGGATGTCCAAGAATGGTCTATGACCATTGAACTTCCTACTCTCCTGCCTTCAATCAGTATTTTCTAAAATTGTTTTCTTTTTTGAGACAGGGTTTCTCTGTGTAAACAGTCCTGGAACTCACTCTAGACTAGGCTGTCCTCAAACTCACAGAGATTCACCTGCCTCTACCTCACAGTTGGTGGGATTAATGGCATGCGCCACCACAGCCCAGCTTCTAAAATATTTTATAGAGCATCAACACTGGGAACAATGGATCAGGCAGTCAAATTGTTTCACCATCCAAATAGGAACACTTGTGAGAACAAAAGGGCGCACCAGCAGTAACTGTGCTGAGAGGGTACAGCAGAAACACCTGTTATCCCAGCAGCATGGAGGCAGGGGAGTTGTCATGAGTTTGGGGGTCTGTCTAGACTATACAAGAGTTTCAAACTAGCCTAGGATAGAGTAAGACCCTGTCTCAAAACAAGTAAAAAACAAAACCCCAAACCCCAGATATGTACACACTTTTAATCCCAGTATTTGAGAGGCAGAGGCAGGGGAGAAATCTATTATGGGTTCAAAGTCAGCCTGGACTATGCAGTGAGACCCTGTCTCAAACACACACACACACACACACACACACACACACACACACACACACACAGGAAGGGAGAGCACACAGAGACACACAGAACAGATAGTGACTTTTCCAGGTTCCATGGCGGGGACATGAGCAGAGAGTCACCAGGCAGGGGACAGGTCCATTCAAGGGTTCATTCAGTTCCACTATGAGATCTGGGGCTGCTCTAACTCCCTCTGCTCCCTGCCTCAGGGGCTGCCCTCGTTCCTGCACTGTGCTTCTGGGGCTTCAATGGCCTTCTACTGGTGGTGGACACAACAGGAAAACCCACCTTCATCTCCCGCTACCGCATCCAACTGGGCAAGAATGAGCCGGTAAGTGTCACTGCGGCTCTTAGTGCTGAGAATGCAGGAACTAGTCAGGGCAAGACGAAGACTTACCTTTGACTTGACCCGAATCCAGAAGGTTAGAGAGAAGGAAGCTGTGTGTGTGTGTGCTTGGTTGGTAGAGTGTTTGTCTAGTCTGGGAGCAGCCCTGGGTTCCATCCCCAGTGTGCGTGTGCAGCTATAATCCAAGCATTTAAGGAAGTGGAGGCAGGAGGATAAAAAGTTCAAGGTCATCCTTGGCTACACATGAAGTCTGAAGGTTCCAAGGTACATGAGACCCTGTCTACAAGAAAAGGCCAATGGCATGGTACAGCAAGGGCATCTGCCGCCAAGCCCGAGGACCCAAGTTTGATCCCTTGAACTCCACAGTGGAAGAAGAGAACAAGCTTCATTTATTCTGGGTTCAAACACACACACACACAAAACCAAAAAAAAAAAAAAAAAAAAAAAAAAAGGCCACTCAGCCAGTGACCAGTCTAGACCAATGTCCTGGTCTCCTTATTCCCACCCTAGGCTGCCCCATGACACTGTGCTTAGCATATTAGAAAAAGGAACGACTGCCTCCGCCTGGACTGGCTGTCTCCGAGATGCCAGCAGCACTTACCCAGGGCACTGAGACCATGGATCTGAAACCAGACATCTACTGTCCCAAGGGAGTCATCCCCAGGGTGGCTGGGGATGGTGCAGACCCTGGGTGTATAAGGTCGTCTTTTTTTTAGCAAATCTTATTTCGTTTTATGTTTTCGAGACTGGGTCTCTGTGTAGCCCTGGCTGTCCTGGAACTCACTATATAGACCAGGTTGGCCTCGAACTCAGAGATCTGCCTGCCTCTGCCTCCCAAGAGCTGGGATTAAAGGCATGAGCCACCATCATCCAAGACAACCCCAGTAAGGCAGGAACACTTGCTCACTGTAGGGGTTCAATCACCACACTGCAGTCTGGACCGGCCTTCCCAGTGTTCTGACAACTTGCAGAGACGAACTTACACAACAGGGCAGAGGCTGGTTCTGAAAACAAACTGTTCCCTCAGCCCCACCCAAACTCTGCCCTGGCAGTTGGCTCTTAATATGTCCAGGTGCCCGGTGAGTCACTTCTGCTCTCAAGGCAGTCTGCCCAGCCTGGCATCAATGGCAGTTGGGTTGAAAGGAGTCCTGACAGTTCTCTGAAGTGGTCTCCTCCTGAGATGAGAGTTGCCAGAAAGCTGGGAGGGCTTCCTGCAGCCCACTCTGGCAGAACAGACTGGAGCCCTCTGTGTCTGTATTAGTAGGCCTGCCGTCTCCAAAGCAGACATTCATGCCTTCATCTTTGAGGCTGAGCACTGTGAACACTAACTGTCATGTCAGATAAGGCTTTGTCATTGGCCCTGGGTAGGACACGAGATAGACTGGAACTTCTTTCTTCTCTCCTACTCCAAACAAGGTCTCATGGAGCCCAGGCTGGCCTCCAACTTGCAATACAGCTGATGATAAGTCCTGATCTTCCTTCCTCCACCTCACAGGGTTATCCTGCTGGGGATCAAACCCAGGGCTCCAAGGATACTCAAGGGAAGGCACTCTACCCTGAGAGGTGTCCCAGCCCCACCCTGGGCCTTTCTAGCTCCAGGGCCCCTACAGATCCTCCCCAGTCTACAGCTCTGAATATCACGTGGCACCTAGAAACCTTCCTATGGGCAGTGACAGGGAAGCAGTAGGCGGGGCTGGAGGTTTTTAACTTTCCAGCCCCAGAGGCAGAGCTCAACCTCTGTTACTCCAAGGCCAGCACAGCTGTTTAAGACTTTCTGAGGACACTTCAGGAAGGAGCTTGGGAACATCTAGTCCCTGGCTAGCTGTAGGAAGAGGTGCTCACTTCTTTTTCTTGTCCCATCCTTTTTTTTTTTTTTTCTTTTTTCTCAAGACAGGGTTTCTCCATGCAACAGTCCTGGTTATCCTAGAACTCGCTTTGTACACCAGGCTGGCCATGAATTCACTGAGATCTGCCTGCCTGTGCCCCCCAAGTGTTGGGATTAAAGGTGTGCACCACCACCGTCCGGCTTGGAGGTGCTGACTTAACAGGATCCCAGAACAGACGACAGAGGGAGCTGAGGGTGGCAGGCATTCCTAGGAGCCTAGCCTGCTCAGAGACACTCCTATCTCCTCCTTCCTAGTCTGGACCCCACTGTACTGAGGAAATGGAATGAAACCCCATGCCCAGATCCCACAACGCTGGGTCTCACACTCTGTACTGGCTTGTGCCTGTCATGTGTCCTGGCTCCTGTCCTTTTTGACCCAGGAAACAGCTTCAGCATTCTTCCCTCTTTCTTACTACTCTGTCTCTCTCCCAACCCAGTTTATTTTTCTCTGCATTATCACATAAATGCTTTACTTGTTCCAACTCTAAAATTAAGACACAAACCTTGGCTGGGTGTAGTGACACACACCTAGAATCCCAGCATCTGAGTGGGAGGCAGGAAAATAGATTTTTAAAAATATGTATGGGTGGCTTTGCCTGCTGTATGTCTGTGTACCACACATACCCAGAGTTCAGGAAAGGATATCGGATTGACAGTCTGGAGCTGCCATGTGCATGGAGAACAGTGTCCTCTGTAAACAGTCAGTGTTCCTTACCACTCAAGTCTTTCCCCCTGCCCCTGGTCCCACTTACCACAAATACACACTGCCACCTGTTATGCTCCTCATTGAGGGTAAGCACTCTGACAGATCCATTTATACTCTCAGAGCTGTCTATACCGTCCCAGTCATCTTTGGAGCCTCTCAACTAGCTATGCAGTCTCTGTCCTTCCTCATGGCTGTTTTTTTTCAAGCATTTAATGGTAAGAAAGTTTTAAACAGAGAAAAATGTAGGAAAAATATACAAGATTCATTTACACACTTCAGAGTCAACCATTTAAACTGTATAACTTTCTCCAAATTGTTCCAAGTTTGAGACTACTATTTTTTCTAGTCTTCTGCAGTCTCATTCCTGTTTCTGTTGGCCCAATTCTCAGGTCATATATTCCCAACCGTGATCCTGCAGACACCAGGGCAGTAGGTGGAGGCTGCCAGTTAGGCAGACAATTCAAAGCGACCATTAAATCTTTTCTCCTGGGACAAGTTTGTCATCTGCTCAGTCTCTCTGGGTTGGCCACAAGTAGAGCAAGCTAAGGCTGGGGACCTGCCCATGCTGGCCTCACACCCATGCGGACGCCTTGTTCCCTTTGTGAGGCTCGGCAGTCCAGTCAGCTCTGAGGTCACCTAGACCTCTTCTGGAACGCTTCAAGATGGCTGAGCCTGTTGGGCAGTGGTGGCTCAAACCTTTAATCCCAGCACTCGAGGCAGAGACAGGTGGATTTCTATGAGTTTGAGGCCAACCTGGTCTACAGAGCTAGTTCGAGGACAGGCTCCAAAGTTAAAGAAACCCTGTCTTGAAATACAAACAAAAACAAATGGCTGAGCCCACCATTGCTGCTTATCTCTGTGTTTAACTGGTATTTGTTTCATTGTCCCTGTAGAGCACTGGGTGTTCTGGGAGCCAGAACTCAGCAGTGGTGGTCCCTGACCCACAGAGCATGTGTTCTGTTGGGACATTCTCGAGGACAGAACTGTACTGCTCAGCATTGCCAGCCCAACTGTGGACTACCCCCAGTGACTCCCAGAAGCCTACCCTGAGCAGGTTAGGTAGAAGCCTACTATTTCTCATGTGTGCCCCCTCCCCACTCCTTCTGTCCTCCGGCAGGTGGACCCCGTGAAGTTGCGTCAATCTATCCGCACAGTTCTTTTCAACCAGACTATGATTTCTCTTCCCATGCTGGTCATCTTCTATCCTTTCTTCAAGTGGAGGCGAGACCCTTGCTGCCAAGAGCTGCCCACCTTCCACTGGTTCCTCGTGGAGTTGGCCTTTTTCACCCTCGTGGAGGAAATCCTGTTCTACTACTCACACCGGTGAGCTATGCGCACAGCTGGCCTCACCCTGGCACAGCTCCCTGGTCAGTAGTCACCAAACCGTGTGGTCTCTGTCCTCAGGCCCTACCCCAAAATCGACAGACACACAACTGATTCTCCAACTTGACACAATGCCAAGGGAAGGGAGAGCTGTCCCGTTTGTTTCAGAGAATGGGTCCGTTCACAACCACTTCCAGATAGTCCTTTCTAGACAGCAGTTCACTTTAACTGGGGTTGGCAGGCAGCTTAAGTCAGCCTCATCATCTAGTCAGACTAGAGGAGGCAAGGAGTAGATGCCAGCTCCATAGATGTAAACCTCATTCTCACCTTTCTTTTCTGATGATCTATCTGCTCAGGAGAAGGGTGAGCTGGCAATTACCAACTATAAATTATCTTTCCAGGCTCCTTCACCACCCAACATTGTACAAGAAAATTCATAAGAAACATCACGAATGGACAGCACCCATTGGTGTGATCTCAATCTATGCCCATCCTATAGAACACGTGGTAAATACAGCCCCTGGAGCCCCAGAAGTGGAGGCTGTCAGTTCCCTGCCCTTTTTTGTTCTTCCCATTGAAGCCATCTCTTGGCTGTGCTAGGTGCCCACTGTGTTATTCTCCCCAACAACCTTTATACACTGACTCTGCTGAAGAGGAAGTGAAACTAAGTTGAGCTAATTTACAATTCAAGGTCTCCCTGCAGCACCAAGCAGGGCAAGCAGAGTGAACATCCAGCTGGCTCTCTCCATCTCCGGGACCATCCTTTTTCTTGCAGGTTTCCAACATGCTGCCAGTTATGGTGGGTCCTCTAGCAATGGGCTCTCATCTGTCCTCCATCACTGTGTGGTTGTCCCTTGCTCTCATCATCACCACTATCTCGCACTGTGGTTACCATCTGCCCTTCCTGCCTTCACCTGAGTTCCATGACTACCACCATCTCAAGTAAGCCAACAGCACCCTTTCTCAATTATTGTCTCTGTGGACAGTGGTGTCTCCATCTAAATGTGAGCCAGTCAAGGGGTATACCTGGCTACAGGAAGATGCTGACTAGGTAGGGCCACCTTCATCCTTTTTCCTGACATCAGGTTTCTTCCTGCAGTTCATAATTTTAACCATCATTTGGGTTTTGGGCTTGCTGAATCTCTCGAGCTTTAAATCATCTAAGAACCTGTGTACGTAAAAACTCAGCACACTTATGCAACGTGGGCTCTTTTCTTGGTTTTGTTTTTCTTTTTGTCTGGGGGAGGAGGGGAGATCGAGACAGGGCTTCTCTGTAGTTTTGGTGCCTGTCCTGGAACTAGCTCTTGTAAACCAGGCTGGTCTCGAACCCACCAAGATACGCCTGCCTCTGCCTAAAAAATGCTGGGATTAAAGGTGTGCGCCACCACCGCCTGGCTTGAGATGGTTTTTTAAGTAATCATGCATCATATCCAGAAGAGGGCTGGCAGGCTCTTGCCTAGCATGTGCAAGACCCAGGGTTCAGTCCTCCAGTTCAGAAATAATCACACAGTGGCTCACACCTTTAATTCGAGCACTGAGGAAGTTGAGGCAGAAACAGTGCCAGTTTAAGCCAGCTGCACATAGTGAATTTCAGTTCAGTTTGGTGAAAACTGTCTCAAGAACAGTAACAAAACCCCTAAACTACCTTCTAACAGACTGTTCAAATGCTCCAGGCTCTACTGCACAGGAAAGGAGGGCTGAGAGAAGCACAGCTTCCCAACAGTTTCAAATGGGAGATTCTCTTCCCTCCTTCAGGTTCAACCAGTGCTATGGGGTGCTGGGAGTGCTGGATCACCTGCACGGGACTGACATCATTTTTAAGCAGACCAAGGCCTATGAGAGACATGTCCTCCTGCTGGGCTTCACCCCACTTTCAGAGAGTATCCCTGATCCTCCCAAGAAGATGGAGAGTTCGCTTGAGCCATCTCAACTGTTCCCTCACAAGTAGAAGGTGTGGAGACTGCCTGGGGACCTTGTTGCCCTTAACAACTTGCCTCCTTTGGCTACCATAATCTAAGGACTGTACCATTAGGGTACAGGAAAAATACAAGCTTCCTGCCAGGACAGGGTCATGAAAGGCTGAATCTGAGCTTCCCTCCCAAACTCCTTCTCATGTTACCTAGGGCCCAGGAATTGATTTAGGAGAAAAAAAAAAAAAAAGAAAAAAAAAACCAACCAAAACCAACTAGCTATTTGGGTTGGAGGTCAGTCAAAGGAAAGTCACCAAGAGCCTGGTGGTCTCCTTTGGTCTTCTGCTCCAATCCCCACACTCAGTTCCTCTGGGGGACAATGGGCTGATAGTAGGACTGGGAGATTCCTGATTCAAAAAACTTTTCTTATACCCAAAGCCAGGGCATCCTGGAGTAGTCACAGGTCAGATGTGTTGACGTGCTAGATGTGGTCCCTGTTTCCCACCATGAAAGCATAAGATACTTTTGCCCTCCAAAGATACAAATTGCTCAGAAGGGACTACAGCTTGCAAGAGCTTCTCAACATGATGTGCACCCCAACCCATGCCTTAACCTGTTTGTAAACTGAGGCTGATCTCATGTGGGAGAGGACCCAAGTCAGTGTTCTCTAATCCCCCAAAAATCTTCTCCCCCAACAATCAGCCTGAGAACACATGGTCCAATCTTTAAATGGTAAATCAATGGTGAGCTACAGCAGCAGGGTTTCTCCTGACAGTTCATGACTGGGAACCCTGAGATCCCAAGAACTTGGCAACTGTTGAGTTGGATCTGGAAGGCTGCCACCATTATCAACTTTATAATTTCGTGGCAGGACCTCTTAATGAGCTACAAAGTTTTGCAGCTAAAGCTGAGTCAGGAAGCCTCTCTTAGATGAGAGCATTTGCTTGCCTCTAGCAAGCAGAGCAGACCCGAGAAATTGCTGCTACCAAGAAAACATGCTTTACTCTATTTTTTCCCAAGCTTTCTCAGGCTTTCTGTGGATTTAGTTATCCACGTGGGTGCCAGATGTAGCACGAGGGCCGGCTTGTTGGGGTTTCTGTCCCGCCCGGTACCCCACAGCCGGCAAACCCCAAAGAAAATCACAGACGGGACTCCATAAGATTATAAACTGCCAATCTTACATTTTCAATTCAAGGTTAGTCAAGATTCCTTATTGTAGATTAAATACCTTAAAAAAAAAAAAACCCACAGCTCAGTACAGAGGTTTGCATTGTAGTTCACAGCTGCTCTGGAGATTTAGGTCCAGTTCAGAGCCAGCCTAGACAAACGCAGCAAAACGTCAGTCTGATAAGCCAGTTCTCCAAAACAGGGTTTCATTCCATGATGCTGAGGCCAACACAAGACTGGGCCAGCTGGCAGCTTAGCACTTTGCAGGCAGTCCCAGCCTCCTCTGGCCTTGGTAACCTGTGCTCTTGGATTCCTTCAAATACAAACCCACTCCCCCACTTTACCCCCATCGCTGGATGTCATCGCTGGATGACAGCTGGATGACAGCGATTTCTCATGAGCAATACTCTCTGCAGTATCATCAAAAGGGGCAGGGCCAATTAAAAAAGGGAGATGACGAAGTACTGTCAAGGGTACATGGGCTGTCTCCATAAGGCCCTAATATTGGTGAATAAGGTCTTAAATTCTTCATAAATGACAAAAAGCATGTAAATAAAGTCTCTATAAACTAACAGATTGTGTTGACCCCTGCCCATACACCTGGCAATCTACAGAAGACCACTGGTCGCAGTTATCACCCACCTCACCCACTCACCCACCCACCTGACAGTAAGAAACTCAAAAAAAAAAAAAAAAAAACCAACAACCCCCAAAACAAACAAAAAAACCCTGTACTCATGCAGAATGCAGAGACAGTGTGGGTTTCTTACCTGGGGACACACACCAGGTTGCACTCTGACACCCAATAGCAGTGTTTCAGATGGGAGACCAACGAGTTTGGTTTGTTTTTTCTTTTTTTTTGCCTTTTCAAGTTTTTATTTTTATACATTTTTTTGTATTAAAAAGAAAAGCATAATAATTACCACCAATTACAAAGGACTAGAGCAGGACCAGAATAATGAATGAATCACTTCAGCCTGGGAAGCAGACACTCTCAATAATATTAATGTTATGATACAAGCTCATTCAAGTATTTTACATTTTTTTTGTCCTGTTGAATGTGATATCCTAGCACATGGTAAAGACAATGTACGAGCGTAAGGTGGAACCTTCTCTTAAAAGCCCATGACGAGTTTTCCTCTCCTGTGAGAACTGAGCTGAGAGTTCTCTTCTGCCTCTGGCATCACCATAGCTGGAGAGTGGGGCTGGGGAGTCCAGGGGCCCTTTAACAAGAGAGGTATTCTGGGGCTCCCATCCAAAGAACCAGGTCACCCAAGCCTCCGGTCCACTCCACCATTAGCCTTGTCTTCATACCCTTTCCCTTGCTTCCAGACCTTGCAAGCAGCTTGTTTTCCTTTGTAAATGTCATCAAAAAGGAGTGGGAAAGAGCAACAGAACAAAACCATTTAACAATCTGACACGGGGCTCAGCGCCTCTGTCTGAACCTGGGGTCCAGGCTAGAGCAGGGCCATGCAGCCTTCTCTTCGAGTAGTGCATTTGTTCTGAGGCTCAGAGGGCAGAACACAATTTGCCCCTTGCTGGGCCCAGGCCAATGACCAACCCTGTACAGGCAGAGGATGAAGGAGGTTCAGTTTGGCAGGCTGCCTCTATCTCAGGTCTTGGATCCCATGGGAAGATGGTGATGGGGAAGTGGCTTGCTCTGGTGGCCCCTGCCACTCCTGGAATACTTGTCACAGATACATCGGTCCTAAATTCAAGTGTCTTCAGAAAGTGAAGATGTAAACTACTCTGCAACGTCAACTCCTAACATGTCACAACAAATACACACACACATGCGCGCATGCACGCGCGCACACACACACACACCACACTCCCACCCCTCCTCGGCCTGTGTTGAGATGATAGCCTTGCCTTCCTGCCCCAAAGGGGTTTCCTCCCTCAGAGGGCCTGAGAGGATCAGGAAGATGGCAAACCTAGCCTGGATAGTCTAAATGGGAACAACTTTCCCCCACCCTGGGCCTCAAAGCCCTGAGGTTCTGTGGTACTGGATACAGTACAGGGCTGAGCATGGAAAGGAAAGGGGAAAGGAAAGGAAGCCCACTATTTGGTGAAGGTGTACCATAGGGCAGGTACCAGACTTTGGGGAAGGTCTCAGATCCCATTAGCAAATCCTGTTCCTATACCGTTTGAGATAACTAAGTCACAGGAGCTGACATGGGATTTGCACATACTAAGCACCGGGAGGGCAGAGTGGGTCAGGGCACAAGTTAAATCAACAGGGTACCCAAAGACAGAGGGCAAGTTCTTGCCAGCCTGGGATGCTGTGTCCTAGTCCCAGCCTTTGGGACAACAGAGGAGCTCGAGGAGGATCAAACAAATTTCAATAACTGAGCAAGAAGATTACGCCCCTCCCCTTGCACTGCCTGGATCCCAGTGTGAGGGTGAGCATTCAGCTCCCCCAGCTTGTATGCTCGTTTCTTCATCACCCCCCTCCCTCCAGCTCCTGATGACAGCAGCCTCCAGCCACTCTTCTAGCGTGTGCAGGGCAGCTCAGGCAGACGGTGGCTTAAAAAGAGAAGTCAGGTATACTCTATGTCCGCATATACCTTCCTGCCACAGGACTTCACCGAAAGGCAGGATCCCCCAGCCCTCGGTTCTTCTCACCCCTTGATCCCAGGCAGGGTCAGTTAGAGGGTGGGCAGAGATGGCTTGCTGGGGGTGGTAGGGGTATTAAGATGGGAAGATCACACCAGACCCTTGCAGAATGGCACCTTTCTCCACATTGTGAGATAAACCTCCTCGAGGTTAGACACAGATCTAAGCTGTGGCCATCAGTGGACGTTCACCTCCTTTCCTTGTGGTTGGGGAGACACTCAGGCTGAGGACAAGTATGTGCCAGACAAGACCAACTCTGAAGCAAACTTGGCCTTGGGGTTCCGAGGAAGGGCAGGGTGAGCCTGGTCAGGTGACAGCAAGCGGAACAAGGACAGCGGCAGCAGTGTGCAGACACAGGACATCAGCTTGAGACGATGAAACAGCAGGGGTGTCCTGGGCACAGCTCTGGTTGAGCTGTCCCCAACTCTCTTGCCTCCAGGTGGGAGGCCCCATACATGCAACTCAGTCCCGAGGAAAATTCTAGTTAGTTCAAGCCCAGGGGTATTCCAGGCAGGTGGAGCTCTTCGGAGGCTCGAGGAGGAAAACAGGCATTTGGGCATTAGTTCAGGTTCCCGCTCCACAATAAGGCAACTTTTAAAAAAATATTATTTTCAAAAACAGAACAGAAGAAAAATTCCAAGGAGGGGTAAGACATCACTTTCTATGGATTAGGTAGGCTCTGATTTTTTTGTTATTTTTTTTTTATGGTCGATTTTGTCTTTTTTTTTCTTTTTTCTTTTGTTGTTGGTTTTTTTTGTTTTGGGTTTGTTTTTGGTTTTTTTGTTTGTTTGTTTGTTTTGTTTTATTTTCCCAAGGATGGAAAGGTCAGACGAAAAATAAAATAAATCATCTTTCAATAGTCTCTTCTGGTGTGAGCAGCGTCTCTGGGCTGGGGAGGGGGGAGGGCAGGAGAGGCTAAAACTCCCCAACCCCCACTCCGAGATCCTTTGGTTTCCTTCCCCCAGAGGTGGCAGAAGGGTATGCGGAACAGCAGGGGACACGGTGATGGCAAACCCCAGTTGATCAAGGGGCTGGTGCTTCTGGGGCTCATGGGCACCGCCAGAGTCTTCTGGTGGGCTGCATAGTTGGCTTGAGGGGAGCGGGAAGAGGCAGGGACACAGGTCGGCTAACAGCCGCAAGAAAGGGCTGAAGAGTGATTTTGGTAATCCAGACAAACTATCAATAATTTAAAACTTGATATATATATATGTATGTATATATATATATATATATATAAAAAATCTCCCCCTTCCCCTCCCCCCTTAGAAGTTAAGATGGAAGTCATGGAGACAGGAGGGGAAGGGGGGACTTGGAGGCTCCTGCCCAGGGGCACCACTAATAGCCCAAATGGTGTACACTGCTACTTAGTGCAAAGGCCTATTCTAGTAACTCCAGGCCTGTTCCTTCTCTGTTCACTCTTCTGGGACTGGGCACCCCCATGGATCCTCGCCCACCCCACCCCTTCTATCCCAAACCCCAGGG